AGAACTAGCTATCAACAATCCACGTTCACATTCTGTCCAGCCACCTGTGCCTATCTATCTAATCTCATGTAATCTAGTCTATCATCAGCCTAAATAGTCATCATTCTAAATATTTCTTTATTTATGTTACAAACATCTACTCACTATCTTCACAACTCATTTATTACACAAAAGAATATCTAAGCTCTGGTACCCACCACACCCACCTCCCCTTTCTAAGGAAAATGGACATAAACATTTCTTTCTGCTTAAAGTTTCAGGATCATATCATGTGTATTAAGTGAAATCAGTTCTATTTCTCTGGGCAGCAACCCTGACTGGACAAGGGGCAGGTTCTTGGGGTTCCTCAACTAAAGGCAACTGTGTTTGTATGTGTATAATCTTAATATATATATACACACACACACATATATATAGTAGCTTAAGTATTACATACAGATATGATATATTCTATAGATATAGATCTGTCACACATATGTGTACATATATAACTTCAATAGCTTGCCATAAAACTCTGCCCAAATGAGGTTGTCTGTACTGAATGGTGACAGACTTAGCCAGTCATAAACATTCTCTTCCTTCATTCTCTTCCTTGGAGAGTATGAATGCTTGGTATCACGGAGAAGTCAGGTCACTTCAAGCTCCAGTTCTATCCTAACAATGGTAAGCAGTTTTCAAGGAAGCCTGCTGAATATGTCTGCTTTGAAAGAGTGGGATTTAGAGTGACCTTATAGCTCAGACAGAAACAACTGTGCTGCGGGCGTGACTCTGCAACCCTGCATTTAGCCCTCATTATCCAAGACAAATGTCAAGCTGCCTCTGCTGGAGGGTGGAGCTAGATGACCACACTATACCACATATCCTCCTTGTCCACAGCTGATTGGAGCAGGGCCACCTCACCAGAGGGAGGTAGCACCCATATCCCATCCATCAGCAAATCCTGATTACCTTCAAAATCAATCCTAAACTGGACCACTTATCACTGCCCTCACCACTGCCACCCTGGTCCAAACTACCAACATCTCTCACCTGGATTTCTGCAGTCGCCTCCTAAGTGGTCTCCCTGTTTGCCTCCCTTTCCCACCTTGTCCCTTTCAGTCTATTCTCATCACAGTAGCCAGAGAGGTCCTTTTTAAAATCTAAGATCATGCCATTTCTCTGTTCAATATCCTCCAGTGCCTCCCCTCCTTCTTACAGTAAAAGTCTAAGTCCTCACAATGGCTTGTAACACACTTCATGATCGGTCCTGCTACCCGTCTGACCTCATCTTCCACCATCCTCCCCGTGTTCACACAACATCAGCCACACCAGCCTCACTGATGTTCCTCACACGGTGCCACAGAGTTCCCACCTCAGGACCACTGCACTTGCCATGCCCTCTTCCTAGAGCATTCTTCCCCCAGATATCTTCACGGCTCACCCCCTCAATTTCTTCAGATTTCTGCTCAAATATGACCATATCAGGGACACCCTCTCTGAGTATCCTACATGCAGCAGAAACCCAACCCCTCCCCAAACTGCTCCCTGCTTTATTTTTTCCATAGCATTTAACGTCAGCTCACATATAACTGCCTACTCTCTCTCTCTCCTCATTAGAAAGTATGCTTCATAAATGCAGCAACTTTGTTTTGCTTGCTGTCTATTTTTCAACACTTAGGAGCTTTGTTGAGGTACAAAGAGTCACATAAATAAGCACTTGGTAAAAACTTGTGGAAGGAATGAGTAAGAGTGGCTGAGAGTAGACCATGAGGAAGAAAATCGAGCAGAGGGAGCCTGCTGAGACAGGAACGAGTACAGAGAAATGTGGGAAAGAGAGGAACCTTGAGGTCCTCGGGAGATGGAGAGAAGAGCCACTGTTCCTGACTTTCCAGTTCCAATCTCACAAGGCCTAAATGTCAGTGCTCTCTGCAAGGTTGTCCATTGTATTCTCACAATTGTACCCCTCATTCTTAAAAACATTGGAGTTTTCTTTGTTCCTTGTAACAAAAACAACCTTGACTTGAGCAGTGTCCTTCCAACCATCCATCCACCCATCTCTCCATCCCCACATGCCCTCCTAATCATTTATACTTCATTTTTTTTCCCTTTTTTTTTTTGAGACAGAGTTTCACTCTTGTTGCCCAGGCTGGCATACAATGGCGCAATCTCAGCTCACTGCAACCTCCGCCTCCCGGGTTCAAGCGATTCTCCTGCCTCAGCCCCCTGAGTAAGTGGGATTATAGGCATGCACCACCATGCCTGGCTAACTTTGTATTTTTAGTAAAGACAGGGGGTTTCACCATGTTGATCAGGCTGGTCTCAAACTCCTGACCCCAGGTGATCCGCCTACCTCGGCCTCCCAAAGTGCTGGGATTACAGGTATGAGCCACCGTGCTTGGCTGATCACTTATACTTCTAATCATCTGTCTACAGATCAGTCCACTAGTCCGTTCATCCCTATAAGCGTCCATTAGCCTAGAGTCCACCCATCATCCATCAATCCATGTAACCAACAACTATCCATCCACACGTGGATGGATAACCTCCTTTCATAACCTCCAGGTACAGTGGAGTCAGGTCATGAAGGATCTCATCACAGGGCTGAGGCCATTCAACTTTAATGCTGAAAAGTGGGAAGCTATGGAAGGATTTTGAACAGGAAAGTTATATAGTTGGATCTGTATTTTAGAAAAATAACTCTGACAGCTATGAGCAAGATACTTACTGTCTAAAGGCAGGAAGACCAGTTGGGGTAATATTAAAATATTCCAGATGATGAATTAGGGCAGAGGCACAGGGGCTTCAGAAAAGAAGATTCAAGGGAGAGACAGGGAAGCAGGTCTAGGAACAAGCCCAGCCCAGAAGGGCAGGCCTAGACAAAAAACTGCCTAATAGGGGGCCTCAGTTTTGCAATCACCAGCTCAGCGCAGGCACTGTGTTTGCCCCAGATCTCAAGTGGGACCAGGCCTCTAGCACATTCTGCACATTTGGTGGCAGAGTTCCCAAGAAGCCCAATCCAGAACCAGTCTTCTCTGGGCCCTCAGCAGAGCACTCTGTCCTACATCTCAAGTCTCTGAGTAAGTGATATTTCCAGAGTACACATTCCCCCACCAACTCATCTCACAGCTCAGCCCTGGCTACAGAAAGCAAGGGCCTCTTCTCTGTTAATTTTCTTCAACTCCTCAGAGGTTGGGCCTCTGGCCCAGTGAAGTCAGGGTCTGGGAGGCAGCCCTGGCTCCCTGCCAGCCCACAGAGACTATATTTGGAGCAAGACAACTCCCTCTGGACACAGAGCTTGGGACCCACCCTGCAGGGCTGCCCCAACCAATTTTACCCAGTATCCACGCAGTGTGATTGTCACTCACGTTTTCACTTGTTAGTTCATTCATTTGTTTACTCATTTATTCATTCCACAAACATTTATTGATCTGCTGGTATGATGCAGCAGGTACAACAGGATGTGCGGTGGGCACATATCTGTATATGTGTATATATGGTTCTCTCTAAGCAGGGATGGCAGAACATACTCTGGGTGTCCTCCCTCAGGGTTCAGTGGTGATGATGACTCACACTCAGGTGTATATGGCATCTTTGGGGACCTGTGTGCAAGTGCATGCAGGCACGTGCTCTCTGACGAGGTAGCTATGACTCAGTGGCACGTGGCATCTGTGGGTACCTGTGTGGATATGTGTCTGAGTGCAGGCATGAGCATAGGCGCTAGCTCCTCAGGGGGTGGGGGAAGTGGTTGTGACTCAGCTGCACATGGTGACTGGGAGCCTACAAGCCAGCTATGACTTTATGGCTTTGCTTATTTGCCAAGCCAAACAGTTAGTGCTGGGCACAAATATTCTATCAGAATGTGCATGGAATAAGTCCTGAGCTGGGGACCTCCAGCAGGCAGGAGAGACTCAGTAGTCTTGGCCCAGCAGCATGTGTCCTCCGCCTGCCCCCTCCACCGTAGGTATACAGGTCCTACCCTCCCCACTTCGCCCTCTCCACTCCTGCCTCCTGGAGACTGAGCGAGCGCGTCCCTCATTGACTCTACATCACCCCTCACCCACCGGTCCCAGGTGCACACACGAGACCAGGCCCAGAGGTACAGGGCTGTGGCCTTCAAGCTGCCAGCCCAATCCATTTTTCTACTATACCAAAAACCCCTTCTTTTCCAGACCCCATGAGGGCGTCTTACTCCAACATCCCAGCCCTGGTTGTAGGCTCGGCAAGCCCGCTCCAGGGCCCACTTCCCATCTCGGCGGCCGCAGACCCGCTGCCTCCCCATCGGCGCGGCCCCATCTTCACCTCTGAGCTCCTTGCCCCTCTCTCCCTGGCTGCCTCTGTCCTTATCTGTCCCGAGTCTATCTTTGTCTCTTCTCGAGCCGGGCTGTCTGCAGCAGAGGCTTCACCAGAGTGGAGGTGCTGACAGAGTGAGGGTGTGGGCAGGACACTCTGTGTCCCTTCTTGAGCCTTATCGGGAAAACTTAAGTCACTGCTCAGGGCTCAGACTGGAATTTCGCCCTAGATGACCTTGCTGGGTCTGCCGGGGGCCTCCGCGGGGACAGCCAGGGTCAAACGAGTCAGGAAACAGGCCCCTGCTTGTGGGCCGCCCGCCCGCCCTCATCCCAACTAGGCCGCCTGCAGCGCCCTCCGCGGGAGACGCCGGGGAGGGGAGAGAAGGGAGGAGACGGGAGGGGCGGCCCCGTCTTGGGCACTCGCAGGGACCAGCGGGAGGCCGTGTGGGGCTGGAGTCGTGACCACGGATGCCGCAAGGCCACAGGGCCCTCCTCGGGGTCCCGGCCGGAAATCCTCAGGGGCCCGAGGAGGAGCCCGGGCGGCCACCCGACCACCTCCCCGCAGGCCGCAGGCAGGCGGCGCGCCGTACCCGCGGGGAATGCGGGAAGAGGCCATCGCGTCTGGACACCTGGGCTTCGTCCCAGAGCCGTCACTGCTGTGTCCCCTTGAGCAACTGCCTAGCTCCCTAAGCCTCACTTTTCACACCTGGAACATAGGAAAATTGCGCCCACCTTCTGGGTCGTGGCAGATAAAATGAGTTCACATCAGGGCTGGCTCTCAGGAGGCGCTCAGTGCCCGTGGCTTTCCTCCCGGGTGGGCAGAACCCCGGGGCAGCTACCCGCGCCCTGGCACCCAGAGCGGAGCAGCCAGGAGCGGAGCCGCCACCGCACACCCCACCCGACCCGACCCTGGTCCGCCCTGAGCGCCCGGGTCGGGGCTGGAACCTGCGGGCGCGGCGCACGCCTGCCACCTGGCGGCGAAGCCACCTGACCGCCCGTCCCGCCCACGGCCGCGCGCGTGCGCAGGCCTGCACCACCCAGTCGCCCCCACCTCGCCGCGCCCCGCCTCCCTCGCCCAGGGACCCCCTAGGCCACGCCACGACCCTCCACCAGCCCAGCGAACCCCCTCGGCCGCGCAGACCTGCGCCACCAGGTCGTTTCCTCCCCTCCTTCCCTCAAAAACGTGTGCATTTCGTTACCCTTACACCTGGAACCGGGGTCATTTCAGGACCTCCCAAGGAGGGTCAGGATGGTGGGATTAGCCTTAAGGGGGGGCGGACGCAGTTTGGCGGTTAAACCGCGTGTTCCTGTTTCAAACAAACCTAAATGTAGGCCTGGAAGGCTGTGTACTGAAATCCTAGCACTAGGTTGGTGCAAAATTAATTGCGGTTTTTGCCATTGTCGGTTGTCTGCAGAGTGAGATTATGGCGAAGCATTTTATTCTTTTTACATACCTGCTTTTTCTCAATTTTCCACATTGGATATGTACTGGTGTTAAGGGAAAAAAAACAACAAAAGTTATTTTTTGGAAAAAAAAAATCACATGGAGAGGGGGACGAACTGGCCTATCAAGGGGATTTCCGGAAGTTAACTTTCTAGTATCTCTGTTTGCATGTAGACTCCCAGGGTCCCCTGGGGGAAATGGAGAAATGAAGCCCAGGACTTGAGGCATTGGGGTGGATGGTCCATCTTTCACATATGCTGGGATTAACTTCCTTTAAGATAAAAGAAAGGCAAGAGTTCCCAGCCTTATTAGGGTAACGTGGGGTAGAGCCTCCAAATAAACCAGAAACTCTTGAGAGTTGAGGTGGTCAGTCGCTGCTGTCTGGTTCAAGCTCTGATTGGACCCAAGGGGACCAGATCCAGGATATATTTGAGAACAAGGAATTTATTTCAGAAAGGGGCCACTCAAAAGCCAGCATTTACTAAGAACCTGCTTGGTACAGGATGCTGGAACTACCACAACAGGCTGCCCCTGCCCTTAAGGAGTTCTGGGCTGACTTTTGGGAAAGTTCATCAGAAGTGACAGGTAGTGAGTGAGGCAGATCAGCACGAACATTACAAGCCGCAGGAACCGTCATCGGCTGATACAGGCCCTGGGAGGTAGAGTGGAGAACAGCTCTGGCCCCCACAGCTAATGGCCACCAACAGAGTGACAGGACCCTTGAGGGGAGAGCAGAGGCTGGAGGTCCTTGGGGTCTACTGGGAGGTGACAGTCACAGGCTCTTGGGTCCTCTCCACAGCCTTGCTGGAACCTTCCAAAGAGCAGGTGTGACTGGGGAAGTGTGTTGCTGGGCTGTTGCCCTCACCTAGGACCTCATCTGTTCACTCATCCATTCACAGATTTGCCAGATACCTGCCTTTGCCGGACACCTCAAAAGTTACAGACCTGCCTGTGGACATGCATAGAGCACCTGAGGTATTTCCCAAACTCTCCAGTAGTAGCCTTGAATGGCTGACCTACCGCAGTCACCTGCCAGATCTTCTCAGAACTGGCCAGCCCACCAGCAACATGCCCATTAAGTGGCCTGGCCCAGCCCAGATGGAAAACCCCCCTCCACGTGACTTTCTAAAGAACATGCATGAAGACAAAACACCAGGTGCCTCAGGTGTGACACCGTGAGGACACATCACCTGTACAGTACCCTAACCCACCTGAGATGACACAGTAAGGTAAAACCACAGTAGAGCCCAGGCCTGTTTGACGCTGACATCCAGGCTCCTTTCCAACTTAGTGCCCTAAAGGCCTGATTGGGGTGGGGGTAGGGAGGAAGATTCAAGCACTGACTGCTTGTAGCCCAGGCTGGGAGGGCAACAGCTTTAGAAAAAAAAAAGCCATTCATTGCTTTAACCATCTTCCAGCTAACTGCAGTCAGATGTACAGGGCCATGGGGCTCTGGGATGAAGTCTTCCACCTCTACACCTTGTAAACAAGGATTCCAGACACACCCTCCAAATGGGAATGGAGACACATGTTTGGCAGAGTTGGACAGTGACGCTGGTCTCGTATCAGCCTGGACTTTGAGGGGAGTGGAAAACTGATGAGTGTGGAGGTGCAGCAGCCCTGTTATCCCCTGAAACTAGCCTGTGGGAGGATAGTCTTCCCAGGGTAGCTGCTCAGGAGGTCCTGGTCCATGCATCAGGAAGAAAACGGAACCTGAGAACAGAGGGAAAATGCAGAAAGTGGGGCAGGGAGGCTGCTCCCTGAAACCCCCATGGGTTGCTGGTTCAAGCAGAAAGTGTTGCTGAATGGGCAGAGGCAGGGTGAAATGGAACAGGAAACGAGGACTTCCGATGAGGAGGAGGGGGCAGTGGGCTGCGGGTCTTGGGAACTGAACAGAATGGGGTTTGCTAGACAGAGTTTTCTAGTCCTGCTGGACCTCAGCTGGCCCCTGTGAACTGCTGTTGAGGGGATTTAAACAAAGTCCTGCATTCCTGTGGGTGCATAACCCTAAGAGACCATGGACTGCGTCTGTGTGGTGGGAACAGGAAAAGGCGGCTGAGTGTAGCCCCGCTTGGAATTTAGTGTCCACCACAGATGTATCCACTACCCAGGACCAAAGACCCAGTAGCCTCAGAAGCCTCAATGGAAGCTGAGCACAGGACTAGAAAGGGTCAGGGCCCTCCTCTGCATGTAGGGGTGGCACATGGCAACTAGCTAGGTGATGGGGAACTGAGAAATTAAATGTTTGACATAAAAATGTAATCAGGACCTGAGAGGAGGTGGATGGTATAATGAACAGCATCCTAGAAGTCCGGTACAGATTTCGCATGTCCCCTTCTAGTTCCTTCTCTGCAAATTGAAACGTGAGGCCAGGTGCAGTGGCTCACGCCTATAATCCCAGCACTTTGGGAGGCCGAGGTGGGCGTATCAGGCTGGTCAGGTGTTCCGAGACCAGCCTGGCCAACATGGTGAAACCTGTCTACTAAAAATACAAAAATCAGCCGGGTGTGCTGGCACATGCCTGTCATCCCAGCTACTTGGGAGGCTGAGGCAGGAGAATCCCTTGAACCTGGGAGGCAGAGGCTGCAGTGAGCTGAGATCACACCACTGCACTCTAGCCTGAGCATCAGAGCGAGACTCCATCAGGAAAAAAAAAAAAAAATTTAAAGGTGAGCCAGTTCAGGCATTCTAGAGGCACTGCAGTTACAGACAGTAAACTGCACAAATCCTGGGTGTAAAGTTGATTTTTTTTTCCTATGTAACCACCATTTACAGCATCCCAGAAAGTTCGTCTCTTCCCAGTTTACAGCCACCCGCCTCTCACCCTCACTTCTAAATCCACTGATTAGCAGTGTCTTGGAAATTTATATGGAATCGTATAGTATGTGCTCTTTTGTATTTGGCTTCTCTGCTCAACATGATGTCCATGAGATTCAGCCATGTTGTTGCCTCTCTCTGTAATATGTTAATTTTATGTTAATTTAGGTGTAGTATCCTTTGTTTGGATATACAATTCGTCTCTTCTCTACTGGTGGATATTTGGGTGTCTCTGGTTTGGGGCCATTATAATAAAACTATTGTGAATCATCTTATACAAGTTTTTTGGTGGACACCAGCCTCATTTCTCTGAAATGAGTGAAAACTGCTGGGCCAGAGGGTAGCTGTTGTTTTTAGCTTTAGTGGATATTGCCAAGTAGGAAGTAGGGAGGTGATTATTACAGTCTCTAATATATAAAGAAAGGAGTAGAGGGGGAAAGAGAGGAAAGAAATAGAGATTCCATAAACTATTCCCAAGACTGATCCTTTAACAAATCTGGAGCACCTCCTCTGCACTGTAAAAGCTGAGGAGTGCCTCTTCCCACGCTTTCATTATGTCGTGACCTTATTCACCTGATCCTCACCCCGCTAGGGCAGCTGTGCCTTGCTGGAACTACCCAGAAGGTTGCAATTAAGGCTTGGCCAGTTAGAACAAGCACAAGCGCTGTGCAGGACACATCACCACCTGAGTGGCAAATGTGAACATTCATTCCTCACAAGCTGCTAAATGGTGCTGACAGACTCACCCTGTGTTTCAGCACCTGGAAAGAAATCAGGGTTAAGGCAGCTTTTACACTTCACGCTTCAGCAACTTGCATCATAGTCTTTAAAATATATCCAAAGCAACCCCCTCCAGAGGCTCTGGGTGTGTCAGAGGTCCCTGCCCTCTGCTGTCTGCCAGCTCACAGAGCAACAGGTATTCTCCCTTCCAGGTGCTCCTCATTTGCACCGAAGAGGTCAGTCAACTCCTAGGACATCTGAAAGGCAAGTGTTCTGGATAACAGAACTGGCCTTTCTGTGGAGCAGGTTTTCTCAATCTTGCCACTACTGACATTTTAGTTCAGATAATTCTGTTACTGGGGGCTGTCCTAGGCATTGTGAGATGTTTTGCAGCATCCCTGGCCTCTACCTACTCGATGCCAGCAACAGTCCCTCCAGTTGTGACAATGAAAAATGTCTCCAGACATTGCCAACCGTCCCCTGGAGGGCAAAATCACCACCAGTTGAGAACCACTGTGATAGAGAAAGAACAGTTTGTTTTTTTTATTTTTGAGATGGAGTCTCGCTCTGTTGCCCAGGCTGGAGTGCGGTGGCACGACCTCGGCTCACTGCAAGCTCCACCTCCTGGGTTAACACCATTCTCCTGTCTCAGCCTCCCGAGTGGCTGGGACTACAGGCGCCCGCCACCGCGCCTGGCTAATTTTTTTATATTTTTAGTAGAGACAGGATTTCACCGTGTTAGCCATGATGGTCTCGATCTCCTCACCTCGTGATCTGCCCGCCTCAGAAAGAACAGTTTTTAAACACACCAACCAGTGTCCTCTCCCTCCCTCCAAGAGGGAAAGATCAGTTTTCCAATATACACTCCAGCTGGACTGAGTGGGCCCACTTAGTCCACAATAGGCATTTTATCTTGGCAACAGTGTAAACCACAACAACAAACAAAAAGCCACATGGTTTACTCTGGTGAAAGAAAAACTGAAAGGCATAAAAAGAAAACTAA